TTCAGTCAAACTCCCAGAACGCATGACTTCACTGAGACCTCAATCAGACTGGAGAGAGACACAGTAGCTTTCTTCCCCATTTCTTCTTTTTTTAAGTGAGCTTGTTTATCTTTAACAACTTCACTAACATACAATTCCCATCTCATACAGTTCAATAGTTCAATGACATTCATAGGAGTTATGAAACCATCACTACAATCAGTTCTAGGACATTACTTCTTCTTGGTCCGCGTTTTAGGAGTGGCCATTAATTTAAGGCGACCACAGAGTAATATTATATGGCAGGAACTGATCGATCTTCTCCCTCTCTCACCATCATTGGAAACTGACTCATCTGGGGCGAGGCCTCCCCTGTAAGAGTGCTTTTTAAGATGTGCAAATAAGGGAATGTTATATGATCCCTGAAGGTGCCTCGGTTACATAGTGGTTGTGTATTGATTGGCAGCGATCCACAAAGCCGGCAGTTCGAAACCACCAATCACTCCTCCGGGGAAAATGGGGCTTTCTACTCCCTACCTAGTCACAGTCTCCGAAACCCACAGGGGCAGTTCTACCCTGTCCTATAGGGTCACTGTGAGTTGGCAACCACTTGATGGCGGTGAGTACCGCAAAGACTCGTGTATAAGCCGTGTTTTTCAGCACATTTGTATGCTGAAAAAGCCCCCCCTCAGCTTGTACTCGAGTGAGGGTCCCACTTACCTGTTTTCCGGTGCAGTGCGGGTGATATCCTGCTCATCTGCGGGCGCCTGCAGCCTCTCTGGGTGGTCCGATGACTGCTGATATCACCGCTCCTCTTTTCTCCTGCACGCTGGCAGCCTCTGTGTTGTCCGTGCCATACTGGGCAAGAACCTGCCCGCTTCTGTGTGCTGGTACCTGGGGCGCACCGCATCCTTGTCAGATGAATGTCGGATGTGGTGGCTCTTCTTCTCCCGCTCTCCTCCAGGGCTGTGACCAATGACGTAGCCTTTACCGTCTTACCTGTGCTTGGTCACGCCCCCTTGCTCCGCCCAAGCATTGCTGAGTACAAGTACCAATGTTTCTCTGGTCTTGGATATACAGTACGTTTATTTACAGTACTTAGTCTGCTATGTTTTATTTTTTATTTTCTTATTAACCCCTGTCTGGACCCAGTGTTGACTATGTTCGCGTAGAGCAGCCTGTGTTAGGACTCATAGTATACATGCTGCATTGTGTACACATTGTTACTGCATGAGTTGCGTTAAAACTTCCCATACATATGCGGTAGCACTGTGTATGCAGTAACAGCGCATTACAGAGCTAGTTTACTGTTTTTCTTTGAAATAAATTTTCAAAACTATTTAACCTACTGATGCCTCAATTAATGTAATTTTATTGGTATCTTTTTTTTTTTTTAATTTACCGGTAGCTGCTGCATTTCCCACCCTTGGATTATTGACTTAAGTCAATAAGTTTTCCAGTTTTTGTGGTAAAATTAGGTGCGTTGGCTTATATTCGGTTGGCTACTGCTCAAGTATATACGGTATATGATTCACGAGCCCTAGGCAGGCATACCACCTTATTGCCCGGGAATCTGGAACAGAAGATTGGATGACTTGAAAACAAGAGCTTGCCTTTTTCTTCGTGTTTAGTTTTATAGTAGTGGCCTCAAACAATATTGTCCTTTTGTGATTGACTGGTTTCACTCAGCCTAATGGATCCCAGTTCCATCTATGTCATGAGATGTTTTGTGATTTCATCACTGCCATTTAGGGATGGATAATAATCCACTGTATGTATGTACCAATTTCTTGTACCATTCTTCTGCTAATGGGCATTTGGGCTGCTTCCAGATTCTGCCTATTGTGAACTGTGCTGAAATAAACATGGGAGAGTATACATCTGTTTGTGCTCTGTTCTTACTTCTTTGGGGTATATGCCCAGTAGTAATAGCCCTGGATTGGATGGGATTTCCATTCTTAGAAGTTTTAGGTAGTACTGTGCTGTTTCCATAGTAATTGTTCATGTTTACAAGCCCATAAACAGTGTTTCAAAGTTCTAATTTCTCTATATCTTCTCTGCAGTATTTGTTTTTTGATGGAACTTCTGTGCATCTTTCTCCTCAGAATCCAAGTAATCTTGATCAAACAGGAAGGACATAATACCACAGAACAACATCGCTGAAATCCAGAGAGCTAGCCTTAAATGAAGGAAATGCCATCCTCATTTGAATGTTAATCACAAGATATTTTCAATAGAACTTTATTATTACTTGTTATCAGCCACATGATCGTGACAAATCCCTCAATTTCTGTACAATGTTTTCCTACATGATCCCCAGGAGAAGACAGAGAGCCTGACCCCACATTTAGATCACCACTATGGATATATTAAGGATGTTGCCCTGGTGATGTTGTTGGGTGAGCAAGGTGGGTGTTCCAGAGCCACCAGCTGTTTCCCAATACAGAGATGAGGCTATCTGTTCCTGTAAAGATGTGCAGCCTGAGAAACTGTATAGGGTGGCTTTGAATGGGAATCAACTTAATGGTGATGAATTTGATATTAATGAGGGTGTATTAGGAGGCTCTGTGTAGTTCAAACCATTGACACCCTCAGCTGCTAGCAAAACATTCAGAGATTTAAGCTCATGGAGATGTACCTCAGAAGAAAGATCTGATCATCTGCTTTCCAAAAATTGACAACATTGAGAGGCACACTTCTATTCTGACATACATGGATGGAGTCACCCTTAGTCAGAATGGGATCACTATGAATCAGAACGGGATCACCGTGAGTCAGAACCCACTCCGCTGAAACTGATCAGCAATACATATGCATGAACTTTTGGTGATGGAGCAGTAAGATACCTTTGGGAAGAGAGCCCAACAAGAGCATCTCCTTTCCTATGCTGAGCTAGGAGCCCTGGTAGCATAGTGACAAGGTCAGTATTTAGAACCCACCAACTGCTCCACCAGAGAAAGACATGGCTTTCTACTCCAGTAAAGAGTTTCAGTCTCAGAAACCCAGACGGGTAACTCTGCTCACTCCTAAAGGACTGCTATGAGTCAGAATAGACCCAGTGTCAGCAAGTTTGATATTTTGGTTTAGTCTGAGCTAAAATTTTGCTACTTAAAATCCATCCAACGGCAAAACACTAAGGGCATGGAATAGAACAGCAAGGGGAGCAGAACAACGAAGTCCCCAGGGAATACCAAAAGTAGACTTTGGGGCCAGGTTTTGGCGCCCCAACAGACTCAACTGGAAAACACTCCTAAAGACCAACAAATAGTCCTTGAACGAATTACAAGCTTTTCTTTCTTGTGTTTTGTTTTGTTTCTTGTCATTGACTTGTTGTTATTGTTGTTTTGTTTTTTTGCTTGGTTTTGCGCTGTCTTGTTTTTGTGCATGTTATTATCTCTGCAGGGCTGTCTAAATAAGATAGGCTGGATGAACAATCTGGAGGAGAAAACAATGGGACCAACAGTTCCAGGGGGACATGGGAGAGGGGTCGGTGGGAGGAAAGGAAGTGCTGTTAACAAACCCAGGGACAAGGGAACAATAAGTGATCCAAATAGGTGGTGAGGAGGGCTTGGGAGGCCCAATAGGGTGTGAGGAAGTACTGCAACCCTAATGAAGGCTGAGCATGATGGTGGGACAAGAGGAAAGTAAAAGGAAATAGAGGAAAGAGCTAGGAATCAAAGGGCATTTTTAGAGGTCTAAATAAAGGCAAGTACATATGTAAATATATTTATATATGAGGATGTAGAAATAGATCTATGTGCATATGTGTGTAGGTTTAGTATTAAGGTAGCAGAAGGACATTGGGCCTCCACTCAAGTACTCCCTCAATGCAAGAATACTTTGTTCTGTTAAACTGGCATACCTTGATGCTCACCTTCCTGACACAATTGCTGAAGACAAAGCGGGTGCATATGCAAATGTGGTGGAAAAGCTGATGGTGCCCGGCTAGCAAAATATATAGATAGTATCAGGGGTCTTAAAGTCTTGACAGTAAACAAGTGGCCCTCTAGCTCAGAAGCAGCCAAGCCCACATGGAAGAAGCACACCAGCCCGTGCGATCATGAGGTGTCGAAGGGATCAGGTATCAGGCATCATCAGAACAAAAAAATCATATCATTGTGAATGAGGGGGGTGTTGCTGAGTGGAGACCCAAAGCCCATCTGTAGGCAATTGGATATCCCCTTACAGAAGGGTCGTGGAGAGGAGACAAGCCAGTCAGGGTGCTGTGTAGCAAGGATGAAACATACAACTTTCCTCTAGTCCCTAAATGCTTCCTACCCCACCCCCCGTCCCCCACTACCATGATCCCAATTCTACTTTACAAATCTGGCTAGACCAGAGGATGTACATGTAGGAACTGGAAACACAGGGAACCCAGAGGGGATGATCCCTTCAATCCTGGCAATTCCAGGAGGGTGGGGTGGAAAGGGGGAACCAATTACAAGGATCTACATATGACCTCCTCCCTGGGGGGACGGACAACAGAAAAGTGGGTGAAGGGAGAATTCGGACAGTGCAAGATATGACAAAATAATAATTTATAAATTATCAAGGGTTCATG